CGGGGCCCCTCCTGCCGCCCCAGAGCCCCCGATCCCACCTCCGCCAGGAGCCCCTTCTCCCGCCCCACAGCCCCCGCTCCCACCTCCTCCAGGGTCCCCCCCTCGGGCCCCGCCTTCTTCTTTACATCTGCCTGGTTCGGGGGCCCCCTCCGGTGCAAAGGGGGGCAGAGATGCTGTTGCTAATGCGGAAGCTGCAGCTTCGCCGGGGTCTCCAAACGCATTTCTTGATGATATTAAAAGAGGGGTCAAACTCAAGAGACTCTCAAGTATATACACCACTAATGCACAGACACTGCTGCTGCTGGCTGCTGCTGCTGGCTGCTGCTGCTGCTGCTGCTGCTGCTGGCTGCTGCTGCTGCTGTTGTTTGTGCTGCTGTTTCTGGTGGTGTTGATGCTTCTGTTGTTTCTTTTGCTGCTTCTGCTGGTGCATTTAAAGGAACATATATGTATGCATGCATGCATGCATGCATGTATGTATCTATGTATGCAGCGGTTAAGAGGGGTTCGCAGAAGAGGTTGAGGCCCCGTCCAGCTGAGGGTATAATGGGGATATTAGAAACTGCTATATCACGGAGGGGCCGCACATTTCAGGTGCTCGAAGAGTCTGACGAAGAGGATGAGTTCGATGAAGCTGACTGGGGTAGATAGCAGCAGTCAGCAGCAGCAGCTAGTAGCAGTCAGCAGCAGCAGCTAGTAGCAGTCAGCAGCAGCAGCTAGTAGCAGCCACCAGCAGGGAGAAGCAGTCAGCAGCAGCAAGCAGCAGCGAGCAGCTGCGAGCAGCAGCTAGCAGTAGCTAGTTGCAGCTAGCAGCAGCTAGTTGCAGCTAGCAGCAGCTAGTATGCAAAGACACAGAGAAGAACAGCAGGGGATAAGAAAGGAGCAGAGCAACGAAGAAGAAGACTGAGAAAATAACTGAGGGGTCCTCAGTGCTCAGCAGTTTTCATACATACATCTTTCTGCCAGGCAGAGAGAGACAGCAGCAGCAGCAGCAACAGCAACAGCAGCAGCAACAGCAGCAGCAACAGCAGCAGCAGCAACAGCAACAGCAGCAATAGCAGCAAGTTCAAGTCCTGTTCTTGTATCTGTGCTGACGTTGTAGACAAGGAATAATCATCGGCACTGTGAGAAGCAGCAGCAATTGCAGCAGCAGCAGCAGCAGCAGCAGCAGCACATTGATCCCTCCTTCGAAGCCTGTGCAGCAGTTTGTTGTCATGCGGAAGCACATTTTGCTTCTTCTTTACTTTTAATACCTGAGACTGGCGGAGTAGCAGAGGGCAGCTCTCTCTGTCTCTGTCTCAGTCTCTATCTCTATCTCTCTTTCTTTATCTCTATCTCTCTCTCTCGGATAATATTATCGCCTCTGTTTATCTGTCTCCTTCTTCGTCTGTTAGTGCGTCAAACTCTCTCTTCGTCTCATTGTCTCTTCACTTCCTCTCGCTGTTTGTTTTATGCAAATGTTTCGCCTTTTTGAAGCCAAATACCATCAAGATGAGGTATCTGCTGCTGCTGCTGCTGCAGCAGCTGCTGCTGCAGCTGCTGCTGCTGTTGCTGCAGCAGCAGCAGCAGCAGCATGTAGGTACACCTCGTAGCAGTTTTATACTGGCATTACTTTAACAACTGCTGATGGGTTAGAAGATATCCCTTCAATTAGTCTTTACCGCCTTATGATGTTTTTCAGCCAGTTTGCGAGCATTAATTATATTTGCATATAAATATACAAAGGGGGGCCCCTCCTACTGTGAAGCTCAGGGAGACTTCTAAAGCTGAAGACTTCTATTTATTCATTAGGGGGCCCCCATATAGAAGGGTTTATTCATTAGGGGGCCCCCCAGTAGAAGGGCTTATGCTTTAGGGGGCCCCTGTCAAAGGGCTTATACTTTAGGGGGCCCCTGTCAAAGGGTTTATACTTCAGGGGGCCCCCTATCAAAGGGTTTATACTTTAGGGGGCCCCCTTATAGAAGGGTTTATACATCGAGGGGCCCCTGTCAAAGGGTTTATACATTGAGGGGCCCCTGTCAAAGGGTTTATACTTTGGGGGGCCCCTGTCAAAGGGTTTATACTTTGGGGGGCCCCTGTCAAAGGGTTTATACTTTGGGGGGCCCCTATCAAAGGGTTTATCCCTTAAGGGGGCCCCCGTATCAAAGGGTTTATACTTTAGGGGGCCCCCTATCAAAGGGTTTATACTTTAGGGGGCCCCCTATCAAAGGGTTTATACATTAGGGGGCCCCCTTATAGAAGGGTTTATACTTTAGGGGGCCTCTACCCCTTGATGCAGTCTTAGCGCATCTAATAAAATATGCTTCAGTCTTTGCATGCATTTAAAGAGGCTTCACAGCCAAACATCTTCCCCATACAAATTCTTTTCTTTACGCAGTCGTAGCAGCAGCAACTGAACCCAGACTTGTAAAGCCCTACAGCAGTAGCAGAAGCAGCAGCTGCTGCAGCAGCAGCAGCTGCTGCAGCAGCAGCAACAGCAGCATATCTACATATATATATATATATATATATATGTTTCTCTGGAGTTCAGTTCCTTTAGCTGCATCTTAAAACCCATATATATATATATATATATATAT